ACAGTCTCTATGGCTAGCAACTGCTGCAGATCCTAAAGTCTTGCCACTGCGGCTGACGTCCCCAGCCCCAAGTCAGCAGACAAAAACCAAACCCGCTCCGGCCCGTCTGCGCCCTGGCTGACACCGAGCTGGGTTCCCTCTTCTTCCCTCTGAGCCACTTCCTCTTCTGCATCAAATCCATTCCAGCTTTCCGTGTTCCAAGAAGCCCTCGCAAACCCCGGGGGACAAAAGGCTGCCCAACCAACGTTTCCCAGCATTCCTGCTCAAGACCGGACACGTACGGAATTCCTGCTCGATTTTCTGCTTCAGAAACTCCATCTTCTTGGCCTCGCCATGGACCAGGAGGACGTTGCGGGGTTCGGCTTGCCGGATCAGCTGCATGATGCCCTTGGCGTCGGCGTGTGCACTGAAGGACATGTACTCCACCTGCATCTTGACTTCCAGCTGTGGGGGGAGTAAAGTGGAGGAGGCAAAAAAATAAATAAAAAGCATGGCAGCCCTCTCAAGTGCCTGGGGTTGGGCACGACAACCTTCATTTATGGGGTGCCATTTAGAATATTTCTCTATTTTTTTTTTAAAAAAAAATGCCCCTGTATGTAGCATACGAGTTCAGAACTGTGCTGAGACCACTTGCTAAATAGCTACATTTTGGATTGTACTTTTGGACCTTACCACGTTCCTTCACTCCACGAATATTTCACTGATTGTAAAGTAAGCAAGTGCAGATTGCAACCCATCTCCTTTTGAAAAATAAACAACTGTCCCAGTTTTTTTTTAAAGTAGAAATCCTTTAACAGCAGTCAATTGTTTGGGGCACCCCAGCCCCCTGCCTTCTCCCAAGGGTTCAACTCACAATTTGTCTTCCTTCCATTTCTAGCTTCCGCTGTCCACCCAAAATTTTGTGGCCCACTGTTCCTTGGACACAATACCCTGGCATGATGACCTGGGGAGAAAACCCAGAAAGAAATTACAGCAGGCCATGATGACTTTGAGAATACCAATAAATAGCAGCCAACTGTCCCCACACAATGATGCCATTGTAGAGTGATCCCTCAGTAGCCATTAGCTGCTTTTATTAGATTGGAAGAATGAAACCCCCATGTTCAGTAGCAGTCTACTGCCAATCAGCTAAGGCTGAAGGAAGTGTTCTTTTCAGAATGAGACTGCTGGGCTCAGGGGTCTTTAGGGACTGATCTAACAAGCGGCCTGGTTTTAAATGTCCCAAGCATCCAGGCTGCTCAAATAACACTTTTAGTCTTTCTGATGTGAAGGCATGAAAAATGCAAGCAACTCTTAGCAGACAACGTTAACCTCTGGGCAATTTATTTCTTAATGGCGGACTTGCCGTCTTTCTCCTACCATGTTTTTCTCGTTGCCAGCCCATTTCTTGAAGATATGGAGTGACTGGCCCGCATGCAGCATCCCTGGCGTAGCAAACACAACCTGGGGGAGGGGGTGAGTGGGTGAAGGAAAGAGCTTAGATCAATCCACCCAAGATTAAATTGGGGGTTCATAATGGTTCCTCCCTTCCCCGTCCGAGTCTAGAACAACTCGCTGCAACCAACCGGCCACGGCCAACCGGTTGTAAGGGCCACCCCTCCCCTCCGCGCTCCTACCATGGGCCCAGGGTTGTCCACATAGGTCCTCTCGAAAGCTTTGATGTGCTTGAACTCAAACATGTTCCGCTGGACGAAGGTTTTCCGGATCTTCTGATTCGTCCACGTGATGAAGAGCTTGTAGTAGTGGTTTGCCTTCTCCGTCAGCCCCGTTGAGAAGTAGATGGGCGCCTTCAAGTTCATGCGCTCCCTTAGGTGGGAAAAGGGGAACAAAGCGCGAGACCCTCGCACTTCAAGGCGAGGCAAAGGAGAGAACTCCGCCCCCGTTTCCTCTCTTTATGTGGCCCGACTCCCATTCCATGTTCTGGGCTGGTGGTGAAATTATTATTATTATTATTTCAATTTATATCCCGCCCTTCTCCCGAAGGACTCAGGGCGGCTCACAACATTATTAAAAAAACAAAGACAGACCCACACACCCCACCGAATAAAACCAAATTAAAACCAATATTTTAGTGTTGTGGTAATTAAAATTTCTAAAAAACCCAATTTAAAAATCCTCCCTAGGCCAGGCCCGCTTATTGGAAAAGCCATGTCTTGAGGGCGCGGCGGAAAGTAAGGAGATCCGGAATCATCCGGATCTCGGGGGGTAGTTCGTTCCAGAGGGTGGGGGCACCCACAGAGAAGACCCTCCCCCTGGGGGTCGCCAGCCGACATTGTTTGGCCGACGGCACCCTGAGGAGACCCGCTCTGTGGGAGCGTACCGGTCTGTGGGAGGGAATCTGCGGCAGAAGGCGGTCTCGGAGGTAGCCAGGTCCAATGCCATGGAGCGCTTTAAAGGTGGTAACTAACACCTTAAAGCGCACCCGGAAGGCCACTGGCAACCAGTGCAGCTCGCGCAGCAGCGGCGTTACATGGGAGCGACGAGTCCCTCCCAACACCGCCCGCGCGGCCGCATTCTGGACCAGTTGAAGCCTCCCTTAGCTCAGCTTTAAATGGCTTAAAGGAGGGGAGGGTTTAAAGCATGGGGAATTCTGGGAGTTGAAGTCCACAAGCCTTCAAGTTGCCGAAGTGCTGCTGTAAGCCAATCCCAATACTTGGGGGGGGGGGCGGTGAAGATT